CCCATATAAGCACTGGCATACCATATAGGCACCAGTTCGAGTCCTGGCTGCTCCCCTTCCAATGCAGCTCTCTGCTATGGCCTGGGAAAGCAGTAGAAGATGGCCCAGGTGCTTGGGCCTCCACACCCACATGGGAGACCAGGAAGAAGCTCCTGGCTCCTGGCTTCAGATTGGCACAGTTCTGGCTATTGGGGCCATTTAGGGAGTGAACCAGTGCATGGAAGACCTCTCTCTCTCTCTGCCTCTGCCTCTCTGTAACTCTTTCAAATAAATAAATCTTTGAAAACAAACAAACAAAAAAGGCAGGGTAGCCCCCAGGTCCTTTTCCTGTGGCCTTCGCTCAGCAGGGAGCTCAAGGGAGAGTGTGTGGGTAGGACGTGTGTGCATCAAGAAGTGAAATCAACACTGGAGTTGATTTTGTTTATCCATTTCAACTGTTCTGCTAAGAAAGAAATGCAAATATATCTGAGGCAGGAAATATGACTGTGTGATTTTCATGACTCCACGTATCAAATGCTCTTCTATTTGTCCTTAAAATTGACTCTGTAGTATAGAGCTGAATGGTAAATTCATGCTAATAATTAACATATTTTTTCTTAGAGCAACATTACACAGCGAACGAAACACCAGTTCAGGTGGAGAGAGAATGTTTTGTATTTTTAGTACTAAGCAGGGAGCCTGCATTTCCATTCTCAGGGCAGTGGGCCACGCCCGCCCTCCCTGCTGTCCCCTGGAGCCCAGTGCCCCGTCCCCTTGTTAAGTACCACGCCTCAACAGCCCTCATGTCCCCACGGTCGTTCTGGACGTCTCCCTCTGCACGCACACCACTGGCCACGCTCCCTCTCTGCAGCTCCTCCGCTCAGCACGAGGGAGGCCTTGGACTGGGGAGTGCTGGTGTGGCTCCGCATCATCCGTCACGCCGGTCATCCTTCTGTCTGGGCAGGTGGCTGCCTTCCTGCCTTCCCTCTCATCCGGGACTGAGCTGTGCCCTCTCCTCTCTAGAGTCTCTTTCCCCGTCGGTAACCTCCCACATTCAATTCTTTATAGAGGACTCTCCGTGTCTCCATTCCTGGAGCCCCACGCTTGCCCATGCCACCGCCAAGGAACACTTCTGATAGGCAGATCTGACAGGCAGGACGCCTACAGCAACAGATCTAAGTGGCACTCCTCACACCTGTTTCCAGCTGGGTTGCACAAATTCCTCCAAGTCCTTGTTTCCTCCAACCCCGAATCCGAGTCACCAGCCAATCCTGTGGTTGGCCTCCGAGCACTCCCCAACACTGGGCGCCACCACGAGCTGCCCCTCGGCTTTCCCCCTGGGCTTGGGCCTCCAGCTCAGCGTCCAGCGCCTCGGGTCTGCTGTCTTTTCATCCCGGTACCACCTGGCTCTCTCCCCCAAGCCCGGCCTGCTCCCCCAAGCCCGGCCTTCTTCCCCAGTCCCGGCTCCCGCCGCTGCTCCTCCCGCCTGGACAGCCATTCCAGGGTCCTGCGGCACAGCCCGTCCCCTCCTGCGTTCCCATCTGGATTTCATCTCGGCAATTTCTCCTTTGCTCTCTTCTGTAGTCACCATCTCCTTTCTCTATGTTTTTCTTAATGGCACTAATTACTTCCTGAAATTTCTAATTTTTTAAAGATTTATTTATTTATTTGAAAGGCAGAGTTACAGAGAGGCAGGGGCAGACAGAGAGAGAGAGAGAGAGAGAGACAGAGAGGTCTTCCATCTGCTGGTTTACTCCCCAGATGGCCGCAACGGCCTGCTTTCCCAGGCCACAGCAGAAAGCTGGATGGGAAGTGGAGCAGCCGGGACTCGAACCAGCCCCCACATGAAACACCAGCACTACAGGCAGCGGCTTTACCTACTACGCCACAGCACCGGCCCTGAAATTTCTAAATTTTTAACAAGGTATTTTATTTCTTGTCTCCCTCCCTGACTCTGTGGAGACAGGGGGCCCTGGCAGCAGACAGCAGGCTGAGTGGCCATCAGTGCGCATTCATGGAACGAGTGAATGGAGGGATGAGTGACCGCTGACAGCCAGGTCCGTGGAGAAGAGCTGCAAGCAGCACCTCAAATCCTCCTGTTGAAATGAAGTTGTACAAATGCAAAACCTCCAAGTGGCAGTCCATGAAAACAGTTTAGATGGACTTCTGATGTTGCTAGTCACAGTTTTTTTTTTTTTCTTTTGACAGGCAGAGTGGACAGTGAGAGAGAGAGAGACAGAGAGAAAGGTCTTCCTTTGCCGTTGGTTCACCCTCCAATGGCCGCTGCAGCCGGCGCACCACGCTGATCCGATGGCAGGAGCCAGGAGCCAGGTGCTTTTCCTGGTCTCCCATGGGGTGCAGGGCCCAAGCACCTGGGCCATCCTCCACTGCACTCCCTGGCCACAGCAGAGAGCTGGCCTGGAAGAGGGGCAACCGGGACAGAATCTGGCGCCCCGACCGGGACTAGAACCTGGTGTGCTGGCGCCGCAAGGCGGAGGATAAGCCTAGTGAGCCGCAGCACTTAATATCCATTCAACCTGCCTAACGAAATACTATCCCTTTCACACTTAGCAACTCACATTTCTTCTTTAAAAGAAATTAAAAGCATTATTAAATGAGAAAACAACCGTCTCGATAGGTAATGGTGGTTAACGTGCTATTATTCAATCTAAACTAAGTAATTTTAACTTCAGGTTACCACGTACAGGTTTTGAATGGTGAAGGACAACAAGGGTTAAACAACTCCTACAGAGGCTGGTGTTCAGTCTTGACATTGTGGAGCTGTTATTTCACGGGCGCAGTACGAGCCTGGGGGCAAGGACCTTGAACTCTTGTTCCTTTAACAAGGAAGCAGCAGTCCGGAGTGCTGTGTGCTCCAGCAGAAGATCCGGAAGACACAGCAGGAACAGAAGGGGGCCGACTTGGACAGGCCTCCCTGGAGGGGAGATGCAGGAGGCAGAAGGGCGTCTGGGAGGAGAGGCCAAAGTGTGGCATGTTTAAGACTGCCAGTTGTTGGAGCCCACTGCCACCAGCCTTTCCCTCTGCCAATCATCCATGCTACCTTCTCAGAATACTGTTCACCACATGCTGGATGTGATCAGTAACTTCAATGGGGGTGGGTGTTTGGCCTACCATTTAAGATGCCAGTTGTGGGGGTGGTGGTGCTGTGGCATAGTGGGTAATGCTGCCTTGGCAACGGTATCCCATATGGGCGCCAGTTTGAGTCTGATCTGGCTTCTGATCCAGCTTGCTGCCAACTTAATGCACCTGGGACAGCAGCAAAAGATGGCCCAAATGCTTGGGGCCTCTGCACCCATCTGGGAGATGGGGAAGAAGCTCCTGGCTCCCGATGGGCCCAGCTCCGGCTGTCGTGGCCATCTGGGGAGTGAACCAGCAGATGGAAGACCTCTCTCTCTCTCTCTCTCTCTCTCTCCCTCCCTCCCTCCCTCTCTGTAACTCTACTGTTCAAATAAAAAACTAATAAAAAACTGAATCTTAAAAAAGAACAAGTGTCAGGATGGCTGCATCCTGTAGCAGCGTACTTGAGTTGGATACCTGGCCAGCTCCTGTGAACTCTGTGAGCCAACGGGGAGGGCTGGAGGAACTGGGTTCTTGCCACCCACACATGCGCATTACTTTCCTGGCTGCCAGCAGAGGCCCCCTGGCTACTGAGGGCATTTACTGAATGCATCTCTCTCTGTCTCTCAAAAAAACAAAACAAACCTTCCAAGGGCATCTTACTACATATAAGCTACCAAACTTTCCTCACTGCTTTCCTCTAAGAATCTCTTGGTCTGGTCACACTTGTTTATTCAGTCTGGTGAATAACAACCATTCTGTCTCTCTGTCCCTTGACTTCACTCACGTGAGCAACTCTGGAAGTTCTACACATGCATCCCTGGAGCTGATTTCTCTTGTCTCTGAACTCTCACAGTCCACTTCTTAATTGGACAGTTTCACTGGATGGCTGTGTCTATTTCTTATCTCCTGGATGGAGCGCCTCGCGTTTGGGGAAGCACTTGATTCAGCTCCGTTTAGGCCCTCAGCATCAAATAGATACGATCTGACTTAGAGTTTGCGATGGATGCTCCTCTTGTGCATATTCACGGGGGTACAGTAGAAACTCCTTCTTGGGAGATTTTTAAAAAGAATGTCGCTCCCCCTCTTCGTGGAGGAACGACACAGGACCCTGCGCTGTTCTTTTGTCTGCTCGGCCCTCCCCGGGTTTGCTGCTGGTTCTTCCCGGGTTGGCTACCGACCCTTCCACCTCCGTGGAAGGGCAGTTCCCCCTGCCACTTTCCCCACTTCTGCAGGGGAGCAGCACACCGCCAGCCGGCTTTCTCGGGGGCTGCACGGGTGTTCCTTCAGATGTTCCCCCTAGATGTTCCTGGTGCATGCCGTCTCTCTCCTCCTTTATAGTCCTCCTCCGCCAATCCCAACTCGGCTGCCCACACGCCGAGTACGCTGCTCTCCTCCAATCAGTAGCAAGTCCTACAGTCCATTGGTTGAACTGGAGGCAGCTGTGCGGAAGCTGTTTACTTCTCTCCCAGCGCCATATTGTGGGAGAGCAGATGCATAGAATAAGTCTTAATTCCAGTAACTCAGTCTAGTCCGGATTGCTCCCCACAGAGAACAATGTCTATCCAGAGGGATTTTGAACTACTTCCAGTGTTAAAATTCAATGAAACAAACATTTGGCTGTTCATCATAAAACTGGCATTAGCTTGTTAACAACTATGCTGGAAGTCCTGCCGTATCTATTTATGGCAAGTCTCTAAGAGCGAGCTGGTAGGACGGTTCTTACTGTTCCAGCTTCAGGTGTTTGAAAGGGTAATTCTTTTGAAAGGCAAGTCAACGCCTATGCATTGGCCACCTGTTGTAGTTCATTTACACCAATGTCTGAAGCAAGCGCAGCGACTGGTAAGCCTTCCTGAGAGGTCAGATGATCATGTGTTCAGCGTTCCTTCTTCCTTTACAGATTCCCTCCCTTTTTATGTGATGGACACCAGATGACCTGAGTAACGGCAGGGCAAGACCCAGGAGAAACAAATGACAACCGAGCTCTCGTTTTTAAACTAATGGTTAATACCACGAATCCTACAGAAACAGACGGAAATAAAATTTCCAATTTGAAAAAAGAGCAAGTGTCACTGTATTTCTCTCTTAAGTCTCCTGTTTCAGACACCTGATGAATTAAAGTAACTTGAGAGTCTGGGCTATTGATATGTAAAGCGATTACTGGTCATTTACAAGCAACATACTGGCTAACCATTAAAAAAAAATACTAACAGAAGTACCCAGGTGAACTTTGTCTACCCAAGAGGCCTCTGTGAGTGATCCATCTGGATGTCAGCAAATTGCTTACTAATGTGTTGACTTATGGCTGCCCTCAAAAGCAAAATGAAAAGCCTGGAATTTACAGCATATCAATGAATCAGTTGATAAGCTTTTACTGGTTTAATATCCTTCCAGTCTTGCTGCTTGGAGCCACTTCAAGTTAGCAACAGAATGTTTGCCATCTCCACGTGATAAAGGAAGTCAAAGGACTAAACAAACTTTCAGACCATTATGCTGTTTGGTGAGATGTAAATGAAAAAAGTAAGAGAAACCCCAGGCCTGAGGGTGTGGGAGCGGGCAGCCCCTAGGCTGACAAATCACTAACCTCACTTTTTAAACAACGGCCAGGACTTTTAGCTGGGGTGGAGATAATATAGTGCATTTGAAAAGTTTTAATTGCAGCAATAAAAGACCATACCTCAATTATATGACATATGCTAGCAGAATTTTTAGATAAGGATCAAAGGCATTCAAGGACCAAGCACTGCATTCTGGGCAACACTTGGGCTTTCTGTACACACTGGTGCCGGGTATTAGCATAACAGCTCTGCTGACCTTTCAGGGCCTCTTTGATCTGAGTTTGTCAAAACCAGAATGAATGTGCACTGGGACTACTGTATCATCCCCAGACAAGTCAAATACCCCCTGTGACAAAGGCCTTGCTGACTGCATTTTCATTCTCTGACACTCACTCAAGGGGACACAACCCAACATCTGACCTCTCAGTTCTTGCCACAAGACTGGCATATGGAAAAGAACCTCGTTTGTAACCTGACTTCGCTTTGTGAGGATACGTACGCCAGGACTTTAAAGCAAGGCACCTTTGTGAAAAGAAACCCTCCATGTATGGAAGTAGTCCTATTTGTAGAAAGATGATCCCTGCGTTTCATTAATTAGTTAACCCCCTAGTAGATGCGTGAAAAACAAAGACTTCATTAACGTGAATGAAAATGCAAGACCACGGTTCTTTTACAAGTAAAATAGATTAATTTATAAAACAGAGCGGGCTTGTGCTAATCTAATCTAGAGAATTAAAAACACATCCATCCTCCTGAGGTCTGGAGGCACACAAAGGAAACAAACACTTCCTAATTTATTGTGTCTAAAACTATCAAATTGACTATTATTCTGCTTTGCCTTTCTCTTCTATTGATTAGACTCCTTTTTCCCTGAAGGTAATTTATCTTCGATCTAAGCCAATGGTTCCCATGTATGGCAAAGTCTTCAGCTATCTGCCAGCAAAGAAACAAGAGTAAATTCCGCGGGGTGAAATGTTCCTGAGGCTAAACGCATGCCATGAAAAGGGTGTGGCCGGGGACTTTGCACTTTCCTGCTGTTACAGAAGTCTTTCTCTAGGAAGTGATTCTGAGAAGATGTGGGTGTTCTGTGTTTTTAAAAACTCTTACTTGGTAAAATAAAATAAAAAGTTTTTACGAGTTGGCTATGACCATTAAAGCCGTAAATTTCTCTACATTTCTGTGAGTCTCGAAGAGTCTGAGAACCACCAGCACACAGAGTTGGAATGGTTGTTCAGACAGAAAGGAGAATCATTACAATTTCTCCGTTTGATTTGATTTGGTTTTTCCTTTATTTGAAAGGCAAAGAGACAGAGACAGAGATCTTGCATGTGTTGGTCCTCTCCCCAAATGCACACAACAGCCAGGGCTGGGCCATGGAGCCTGGAACTCAATCTGGGTCTCCCATACGGGTGGCAGGAAGGCAGGAACCTGAGCTGGAGCTGGGAGCAGAGCCAGGATTTGAAGCCAGAGCCTCTGCTATGGGATGTGAGCATCCCAGGCAGCATTTTAACTGCCACACCAAATGCCCGCCTTCCCATACTATGCAGAAGTTGTCCTCTCATCCAAGGAAGCCTGGATAAAGTCACCGTTAATTCTGGCTTTGGAATTTATTCATTATTAATATTCGTTATTACTTAGAAACCCATAACACCACTTTATTTGAAAACAGACTTTTAGTATGTAGTTTTGGTTCTTCAGAACTTTCAGGGGCCGGCACTGTGGCACAGTGGGTTAACACCCTGGTCTGAAGCGCTGGCATCCCATAAGGGCGCTGGTTCGAAACCTAGCTACTCCACTTCCAATCCAGCTTTCTGCTATGGCCTGGGAAAGCGGTAGAAGATGACCCAAGTCTTTGGGTCCCTGCACCCATGTGGGAGACCTGGAAGAGGCTCCTGGCTCCTGGCTTTGGATCGGCGCAGGTCCGGCTATTGCGGCCAACTGGGGAGTGAACCATCGGATGGAAGATCTCTCTCTCTCAATCTCTCTCTCTCTCTCTGCCTCTGCTCTGTGTAACTCTGACTTTCAAATAAATAAATAAATCTTAAAAAAAAATATCATGTAAGAATGAATATAATGGAAAACAGAAGCCTGCATTGAGAATCCAAGGCCAACAGTTCCTTTTTTATTTACAATATCTTAATCTGGAACTTCCAGATTTTGAAGACTCATTTTATTTACACCTTATGTTAAACAAAAAATTTCATAGGTATTTAAAGGAAAAATAATCCAAAATTTTTTCTTGAAAATAATAAAGTTGTTCCTATAATCAGAAAAACATTTCACTATTTTTGTAAGACAGCGTATACTATTAAATCATGGGAAACGCTAGGCTTTTCTAAAAGTCCCCCTGTGGAGGACTATTACTTTATTCACGAACATGGGCTGTGTGGTGCTACTGTCTAACATTTTCTGTTTCTGACAGAGAAAGCAAGAGAGAAACTCAAACATCTACCATAGCTGGTGCCTGGCCGGGCCGAGGTGAGGAGCTAGGAATGAGCTCCAGGTCCCCCACGTGGGTGGCAGGAACCCAGTTAACTTGAGCCATCACCATTGACTCCCAGAGCCCTGCTGTGGTGGGAAACTGGGTCAGGAATCAAACTCAGGTACTTTGACATGAGATGCAGGTGTCTTAACTACTAGACTGAAAAACCGGCCTCTTCTTAAGCTGTTCTTATTTTGAACTGTAACATATTTATTTATTACATTGTTTAAAAAAGAATAATAGGGCCGGCGCGGCGGCTCACTAGGCTAATCCTCCGCCTTGCGGCGCCGGCACACCGGGTTCTAGTCCTGGTTGCCCCTCTTCCAGGCCAGCTCTCTGCTGTGGCCAGGGAGTGCAGTGGGGGATGGCCCAAGTGCTTGGGCCCTGCACCCCATGGGAGACCAGGAGAAGCACCTGGCTCCTGCCATTGGATCAGCGCGGTGCGCCGGCCGCGGCGGCCATTGAAGGGTGAACAAACGGCAAAGGAAGACCTTTCTCTCTGTCTCTCTCTCTCTCACTGTCCACTCTGCCTGTCAAAAAATAAAAATAATAATAATAATAATAATAATAAAGAATAATAGGGGCCAGTGCTGTGGCATAGCAGGCTAAGCCTCTGCCTGCAGCGCCAGCATCCTATCTGGGCAGCAGTTCGAGTCCTGGCTGCTCCACTTCTGACAGCGCTTCCAGCTAATGGCTTGGGAAAGTAGTTGAAGATGGCCCAAGTCCTTGGGCCCCTGCACCCATGTGGGAGACCTGGAAGAGGACCCTGGCTCCTGGCTTTGGATCGGTCCAGCTCCAGCCATTGTGGCCATTTGGGGACTGAATCAGTGGATGGAAGACCTCTCTCTCTGTTCTCCCTCTCTCTGTCTGTAACTCTGCCTCTCAAATAAATAAATAAATCTTAAAAAGAATATAATAGTAGCAACTCCTAAATGTTAATATATGTATAAGCAAATATTATTTTTACTAAATATATCTTCTTTTTAGAAATAAAGATGATCATTTTCCTTGGGCCCCTTGCCACCATGTGGGAGACCAGGACGGAGTTTCTGGCCTTGGCTTCAGCCCTTTCCAGGCACATTAACAGGGAGTTGGATCAGAAGCAGGGCAGCTGGGACTGGAACTGGCACTATAATATGGGTATGGCCAGTGCTCCAAACATGAGACCCTCTTGCAGGCTTTTTGAAAAAAACTCCCATGAGAAATTTATCTTCTCTTTCTCCAAATACCAGCTATTGGTTTTACTTACTAGTTTCACTTATTCCCTAATAATTTATCTTTGTATTTCCTACATTTAAAAAAAATTAGGGATGAGTGTTTTGGCACAGTAAGTTAGGGATGGCGGCACTCATGTTACAGTGTCCATCTGAATTCCAGCTGCTCCACTTCCAATTCAGCTTCCCGTTAGTGCACCTGGGAAGACAGCTCATGACGACCCAGTACTTGGGCTCCTGTCACCCACATGGAAGATCCAGATAGAGTTCAGGGCTCTTGGCTTCAGCCTGGTCCAGCTCTGGCTGTTATGGGCATTTGGGGAATAAAACAGTAGATGGAAGATCTCTCTCTTTTTCTCTCTGTCTCTCTTGCTCTGCCTTCCAGATGAAATGAATGAAGTGAAATACAAAATCAGTGTTTTTTTTCCCACTGGTTTCCTGAATAATTCATTACTTTAAATCTTTCTTGGTATTAACAAAGATACTTAACATTACTAATTTTCCTCTACATGAAGCTTTAGCTATATACCACAGAACATCAGTGTTCTTGTCGTGAACACGAGAATGGGGTGCATTTTAGGTTCTAAATTTCCATACTAACTTTATAATCCATTCGTTTTATTATGATTTTCATTTTGTTCTATTTTTGCCATTTATCTCATTTTAAGTTGTCTTGTTTATTTCTGAGTATTATTTTACACAGAGCACTTTTGTTTTAAATGTGTCTTTCATAAGCAGTTACTACCTGATTTTTTCAATGTAATCCAAGAGTTTGTGTTTAATAAGAAAATTATCTCAATCATGTTTTTTTAATTTTTTTTAATTACTGCAGTTACTGCTATATTTTAATCCTATCATCTTACATTTTCTACTCTTTTCCTTTTTTGGTTAGCTTTTACACTTTTATATGAATGTGTGATAGCTGCAAACATTGTAAGACATTACCTGTACATACTTGGCATGTAACTCCTAAGAATCAGATCACTGTACCTTAAGTCATAATATGATTAATACACCAGGAAATTTAACATTGATAGATTACTGCTGTGTAAAATATAATGCATATTCAAACTCCTAAACTACCTCAATTATAGCTCTTGTTTCAGTTTTGGTCCATTATACAATCAAAGATCTCATTAAACTTATACTGTGCTCCACACCTGTATTCTAGAACATTCCTCAGCCATTTTCTTCATTATGACATTGATATTTTAGAGTTCATGCCAGCTGTTTTGAAGAATAGTTCTCATTTTTGATTAATCTGCTTACTATTTTCTCCTAATTTGGTACAGGTCAAGCATTTTTGGCATGAAAGTCCAAAAGTGATGCTTTGTTCCAGGGTTCCTGTGCACATTATGGACAAATGGTGTCAATCCACTTGATTATTGATCACTTTGATCACTGGGTAGGAGACATATGCCAGACTTCCCCATTGTAAAGATTCCTCTTTCTCTTTGTAAATTGAGTAACGTGTGGGGTAATAGTTTGTAAATTGTGGGGTAATAGTTTGAGACTGCAAATGTCACATTCCTTAGTGGTCTTTCACCTCACAGTTTACGGTGATTTTTTCACATAAATTCTCTTCAAACTATCATTTGTATACACATCCTCATGGTCAAAATGCATCTGTAGGATTCTGATGTATTAGTCACGCACGGTTCTTCAGAGAAACAGAACCCTTACGAGATATAAGTGTGTGTGTGTGCGCGCGCGCAGGGGAATATATTATGAGGAATGGGCTCACACGGACTTAGAGGCTGAGAAGTCCTATAGCCCATCTTTTGCAAGTTGGAGACCTAGGCAAGCTGGTGATTACAGCTCCAATCTGGGTCTGAAGGCTGAGAATCAGGAGTATGGTTGGGAGGACTCCTAGATCAGAGGCAGGACTGATGTCCCAGAAGTGGCCAGAAACAGCAGAGTTCTTCCTTCCTTAGCTTTTTATTCAAGGGGTTGGGTACTGCCCATCCACACTGGGAGAGTGATTTATTTTCCTGAGTCCACAGCTTCAAGTGCTAATCTTTTTCAGAAACACCCTCATGACACACCCAGAGATAATGTTTAACCAGATAATCTGAGCATCTCCTAGCCCAGTCAAGTTGACACATAAATTAACCAGCACCCCTGGATAATATGAACTCCAATAGCCCAGTTCGACAGATTCCATTAAACAGGTGGATGATTTTAATTTAGAGATTATAATATTAATTAATACTTCCCAGAGAATTCTTACAGCTCAGAGAATGAGTTCCATGAAGTTGGAAAGGTAGGGAAAAAATCATCAAATTACAAGTGCCATTTGGTAAATGACTAACAAGCAGCCTACATCATAAAGGGCAGCTCTCGAGTTCTATCCAAATAGGCAGTCACAGGCTGGCACTGTGGTGTAATGGGCTAAAGCCTCTGTCTGTGGCGCCAGCATCCCACATGGGCACTGGTTCGAGTCCTGGCTACTCCTCTTCCAATCCAGCTCTTTGCTGTGGCCTGGGAAAGCAGTAGAAGATGGCTCAGGTGCTTGGGCCCCTGCAGCCATATGGGAGACCCAGAAGCTCCTGGCTCCTGGCTTCAGATCTGCCCAGCTCGCGCCATAATGACTATTAGGGGTGTGAACCAGCAGATGGAAGAACTCTCTGTCTCTCCACCTCTCAAAATAAATAAATAAAATATTTAAAAAAAAAACAAACCAGACAACCAGGAGCTGTGATAAGAGCATCTACCTATGGTTAATATTTTATATATATATGTTATAGTATATACAATATATTTTATATAATATATAGTTTTATATAATATATATGTATATATTACATTAGACTCAATCTTTACTCATTTAAAATGAGGGTTACAGATTTCAGATGTTTGTGGCCAAACAGGATACATGACAAGAGCATGGCACAGAGAAACTGCAGGACTGAGTTAGGAAACCAGCAGAGACAGAGCTTGGAATTCTTGGATTCCACAGTTTATTAACAATTGAAAGCAGAGGCAATTATCCAATGTACCAAGTGTGGAGCACAACCTTCCTGTGATCTGAATTTGTATATCTATCCTGCCTTTCCCCACCCCACACATGACTGCTGAATAAGCAAGGCTATCTTTAGAGGATAAGAACATTACTTGTATGTGCATTTATTTATATACTAACGTACATAATCCAATATTGACTTACATGAATGTGTGAGTCCTGAATTTTGGAGATGACATAGAATACAACTGATCACAGTTGGTGGATGTGGTAAGGGTGGTTGCTGTCTTGTGAAAGATTTGTTTCCCTTAAGTGCATACATACGCTGGGTTACTGTACAGAATAAACTCCTTGGCCGGCGCCGTGGCTCACTAGGCTAATCCTCCGCCTTGCGGCGCCGGCACACCGGGTTCTAGTCCCGGTCGGGGCACCGGATTCTGTCCCGGTTGCCCCTCTTCCAGGCCAGCTCTCTGCTGTGGCCAGGGAGTGCAGTGGAGGATGGCCCAAGTGCTTGGGCCCTGCACCCCATGGGAGACCAGGATAAGTACCTGGCTCCTGCCATCGGATCAGTGCGGTGCAACGGCCGCAGCGCGCCAACCGCGGCGGCCATTGGAGGGTGAACCAACAGCAAAAGGAAGACCTTTCTCTCTGTCTCTCTCTCTCTCACTGTCCACTCTGCCTGTCAAAAAAAATAAATAAATAAATAAATAAAAAAATAAAATAAAAAAAAAAAGAATAAACTCCTTATTGTGAGTTGTGGGAAAAGTATGAAAGCCACTGCCCTGCAGAGTTTACTTCAACACCTCTCTCCCTGACACATCTACTTTCCCCCCTCCCCTGCACCAAAATTGTTTTGCTTATCAATTTATTCTTAGATATTCAGCTAAAGTGAATTAGCTATCCAAATTTTCTGTGGTCATCTTTAAAAGCCTCAAAGGAAAAACTAGAAATGTAAAATATAAGCTCAAATATAATTTAAACTTTTCCTTTTTCTACCTTTTGAGTGTTTTTTCTTCCTTTTTTAGCATACAACTGAGGTTTAGAGAAGGCCAATGAAATTAGAAGAGTACTTGAACTAGGCCTTGAAAATGGTAATATTTTAATTGAGGCAGTGGCACAGTAAGACTAACCATGGCAACATGCAGGGCGAGTTAGTGTACTTAGCAAGGTACAGGGTAGACTAGAGGTGAAAGCGTAAAGGAAGGAGATAGCATGAAGAGAAACAGGGCAGAGGGGCCGGATTGGGCACAGAGCAAATCCGAGGACTTGTGAGAAGTTGGAAATAGGGGACAGGAACAGCCACTGGCGTGATACTCCTTCCCACAGAAGGGTAAATGAAGCTGGGAGAGACTGGATTCCCAGAGCAAGTGCTGAGGAGCACGAGGGGCTCCCATCTCACCAAGCAAGGGCAGGAATGAGGCCATCCCTTGAAGTGGCGCTGGGTGAGGATGAGGAAAGGGCACTCTATTCACCTGCCAGCTGGGTTTGCTTTTCCTTATCTTCCTTTAAGAAACTGAAAATATGTTTACTTAGTTGGGAGGACTTATTTGCAAAGGTTAAAAAGCTCTAAGCAGAATGATTACAGGGTTAAACGTTGGCAAGTAAAGATACGGTCAATATTCTTTCTCTGAAAAGCATTTGAGCTGTGAGGCAGCTCTGTTGATGGCCACCCTCGGCACAGGACCACAGTGCTGTTTTGGCTTTGGGTTATAGACTTAAAAGCTCCTTACTCTGTACCATATTCCAGATTCTGAAAATAACCCTATCACACTGGGTCTTTTGTATTTTATAGAGTGGAAAACAGAAAGTAATCTGTGTGTCACAAATCATACACAGGCAATACTGTAGCCAGACAATCAGTTGAGTCTCATGACTACAGCAGTGAAAGCAATGTGTTCAGTTATTAGCCGATGATGAACTCATAACAAAATGTTAAACATATAAGGCAAAATCACTGTCTAAAATTTTAGGAGAAAACAATGAATGATTCTGATTGAAGAGCCAGCAGATTACATATTAGAAATGACTCAGAGAGATTCAGAGATCCAGACTGTCAGACCACGGAATATAAAAACATGAAAAGAATATAAAAGGATGGAAACATCATGGGAGACAGTCAGCTACTGAATTGAGAATGAACAACACTGGAGACTAACAATCTCCGATGAAAGACGAGAGACGTTACTGAGAATACAAAGACCTGGCCAGAGACACATGCTTCCTGCAGGAGTGGGCGTGAGGTCTGCAGGTGAGGCTGAGGCTGTCATGTTGGCTGCTGGACAAGGACGAGAGCCAACCTGGAGAGGTCAACCTACTGCTTTCTAAACAGCAAGAGGAATGGTCATATTCAAGAAAAAGGGAAGGTAGCACATCCTTTATGTCCAGTAATTATGGGAGCTTTTGGCCGATTGGCTGTTTCTTCTGTCAACTGGGCCATGTGAGAAAGAACTAGGCAGCACTGAAAAGTGAGAGGCTTTTTACACGACTCCCGTAAACAAGTGGAGGGGCTTTTACTAGGACCCTTAGCTCTTTCCCTAAATATGCTTTGCTATCAGTTCATACTACGAGGGATACCAATGCCTGGGAGAGTATAATTCATCTCATATGTAAACAACACTGCAGACTTTCTCCACAGCCTTGGTCTCCCCCTGTGCTGCCTGCCTTTTCTGTGCCCCAAAAGTAGAAGCCCCTCATTGCTCCACACTGGTCACAACAGGGATGGCGACTCCGGCGGCGCAAGCCACAGCAGCTAATACGTGCCAGCCACCGGTTCAGCAGCTCTGCCTTCAAGACATGCAGTATTTTAAGGCCATTTGCTCACATGTTGCTATTGCATTTAATGTTTTCCTGCTCAGGAAGGCAAATTAGATACATTTTACTTGATTACATCTGAGACACAGTGACACCACATTAAGTCAATGTCCCCATTTCCTTTTGCTCATGCTTCTTTACAATGCTTAAGTGGCCAGGAAGGGTTATCAGGGGATTAAAAAAACCACACTGCCTTATAGTCAAGCCTAAAGCCATTTACTTTTAGGGTCCCTAAACGTCATTCTGGGACACTTTCAAAAGGCTTTCTCATCCCGGGTCAGTAAAAGCATCACTAAATTAAGAGAAGTCCATGAGGGCACCCAGAAAGAATAGCACTTTACTCTGACAGGGTGCACTGTGAGTCTGGGATAAACCCAGGAAGCAGTGTTGTGGTACAAATAAGCCAAGGCACCCAAAGGACACGCCTGTGGTTGCTTAGCCTCCCGAGGGAAGGCAGGAAGTAGGGATTGCTTTCCCCAGGGAAGGGTATCTTTCTATTACTCATTATTCCAAATGGGAGTGCAGGCTAGCAAGGTAAAGTTTAGAAAAAGACCTGAGTGTGTAAATGACACTGCCACAGCAAACTGTGACAGAGCAGTGTGACCGCGAGGAGTTTTATCTCAACTTGCAGCTAACGTATGTGAGGACATGACAGGGCTTCATGAATGGTACAGCCAGTGTGTAGGGCAATACGTCAAGGTAGCAATGATTACTTTCTTACGGTTGCTGCCATTTGCCCCAGGCCACAGAGCTAAGGAGGACAGGTATGGGGCTGGCTCCTTCCACTCTGCCATGCCTGTCCTTTACGTATGGGGTACAAGTAACAGAAAACAGACCCCAAAAGCAAAAAGAGACACAGTGGTTAAAAGAAAGGATGGGAAGGCAGTTCTCCTCTATATAATCTGGCACTGTGGAGGCTTTCTTCTTTATAAAGCTTCCTTCCTTCCATTCTCATCATTACTAGAAGAATCAAATCTGGTATCTTCATTTACTTTCAGTTCAGAGGGTGTGAAAAACTTAGACTTGTTTCCTTTCTTCTATCTGTAAAGATTAAACAATTGGCACAAAATGGCCAAAGAAAAGTTGTTTTCAATTACACTATCATAATTTTATAAACTTGAAGATTCAACTAGAAAAGAAAATCGAAAAGTATTTTATTATCCATGTTGGCAGCCGATTTAAGTACAACAGAACTACTCAATGACTTTTCCAGTGACTTTAAAAAGCCCCCAGACTGAGGGATGAATCAACATTTTACTGCCCGTAACACCTAATGACTCCATACGAACCACTGACATATAGAGACTATGGCCCAAGAACTGACGATCTATGCCTACCTTTTCTTCAAAGAATTTTTTCCTCAATTTGGCGTCTGTGGGAGGTACTGTTTTCCTCAGGTTTCTGTACCATTTTCGAACAATGTATCCTCTCCAGTAGGCTTGGATTCTATAAGGTAGATATTTGAAGACTGTAACAAATAGTTCAGTAGTGAGCATAAGCCCTGGGCCACAGGCCCTGGGAGACGATGGTGGCCAGAAAGAGAGCTGACACCCCAATGTCTTTTACATTGAGTTTCTGCAGCCCGATCTTTAAACCCTCTGCTCCTTGGGTGCTGGGGTCCCGGTGAGTGGGCGGAGACCCTTCTTACCTTGTGGCACACTTTAGTTTGAATAGGCGGGCCCCGTCGTGTATCACTCTGGTTTGATACTGGTTCTTTCTACAGAGAGGACAGGTTTTTTTATTTGTGAACTTTTCAAAAGCCTGAAGACATGCCTGAAGGAAAACATTTCACTTAAAATTTTATAAGTCATTATTTATAAACATCATTTCTACTTCTGATGTAATTACAGTGCTCTTTTCTCTCATAATTATGAGACTTGCTCCAATTTAGACTATGAAGTGAAGAAGCTTCATCAGATATTAACACCTTCTTCACGAAACCTGTTCCAAAAATGAGTTTTTACAAGAATAAACATGCAGAGAGATCAAAAACTTCTGAAAGTCAACTGGTGTATAGGTAGCTCATGTGTGTGTCTAAGACTCCCAAGCAGCTAGATCACATGAATTAAGCTATCACTCACTTGGATGTGCATTACCAACAACAATCTGTTATACAAACATTTGTGGTTCTTTTGTCACATCGGATTCATGATTTTCAAAACAGGATGAATTGTACTTGTAGCCTGAAGTCATGTTTCCAACTATGAATGGTGACTGCGGAGAAACTAATGGCTCTTTTGGGGAGACTTTACAATGCGTGGGGTTTCTCTGGGCTACGAAGTTGAGCAGTGCACACTTGATGGTGGGGGTGCAGCAGGGTGACTTACTCTGTGAAACACATGGGAACATGAAAGCAGCACCTGCTCATGAGGAAACAAAAAGATGTTTGAAGTTCAATAAAAGAGAAGCAGCATAAATGCATTAATTAAAAGAGTTCTGAACGCTTAAAAGGTAAGCAGTATTATTTCTTTGAAAAATTTAAAAAGCAGATCAGTAACTTTGATATTTCTATTTAGCATTCAGGGTTAGCACAGCATAAGCACACAGTCTAAACAAGAAAACGGGAGTTGACAACAATCTGACACATCAAATAAACACATGAAGTTTGATACTAACCTATTATAAAGTGAGCATATACTTAAAAGCAAAACAATTATGGGGGCAGGCATGTAGCCTAGAGATCACCACACCAGTTAAGATGTCTGGAGCTCCTGTCAGAATACCTGGGCTTGATCCCTGCCCCCCACCCGGCTCTGGCGTCTGATTCCAGCTTCCTGCTAATGCAGATCCTGGGAGGCAGCAGTGATGGCTCACGTCCTTGGGTTCCTGCTACCCAGATGGGAGGCCTGGATGGAGTTTCTGGCTCAGTCACAGTGGTGGCAGGCATTTGAGGAGTGCACTAGTGGATGAGACTGCCTGTCTCTCTCCCTCTCACTTACTCTCTATCCCCCCCTGTGTTTCAAATGAACAAATAAAAATAAAATTAAATAAAACCAATTACAAAACAGATATATTTTCCAGTAGATCCTAAAAGTGAATGCAAACTGGATGAAGGTGAGTGTGAAGGACCAGTCTGTGTGGGGTGCGGGCTGGTAGGAGGAGGAACAAATACATAATAAGCAAGCATCTTTGGGGGCTTTGTTCAACTGACTTATACTCCTGAAATTTTTTCTTTTAATCACAGCTTTTTCTGAGATATGATCTGGCAGTCTTAGATGGGAAGAGATCAAGGAGGGGCTGTAGTTGTAACATAGCAGTTTAAGCTGCCACCCAATATGGGTGTCAGTTTGAGTCCCAGCCTTTCCACTTCCAATACAGCTGCCTGGGAAGGCAGCAAGAGATGGCCCAAGTACTCAGGGCCCCTGGCACCCATGTGGAAGATCCAGATGGAGTTCTAGGTTCCTGGCTTTGGCCTGCTGCAGCCCCAGCCATTGGGCCATTTAGGGAGTGAACCAGATGGAAGATTTCTCTTTCTCTATCTTTTAAATAAATAAATAAATCTTTAAAAATATGGAGACCTAGAAGTTTTTTCCTTTTTAAATGTCGGGAAAGTAGACTGACAAGAAAATCTTATGGGGCTGGTGTGTGGCACAATGGGTTAAGCTGCCACGTGTGACACTGGCATCCTATATGGGTACCAGTTCAAGTCTCGGCTGCTCCACTTCCAATCCAGCTACCTACTAATGTGCCTGGAAAACAGCAGCCGATGCACATGTCCTTGGATGAAGCTCCTGGCTTTGGCCTGGCCCAGCCATGACTGTTGTGGCCATTTGGGTAGTAAATGAGCATATGGAAGACCTCGCTCTGTGTCTCTCCTTCTCTCTCAGTAACTTTGCCTTTCAGAGGAAGGAAGGGAGGGAGGAAACCTCACCCTTCTGTGACCTAAATTCCCACCAAATAGTCCTCTAGGCTGACAGAAGACAGCCAGCTGGCCTTCAGTGGAAGGAAGGCACAGTGGGGTGGAACCACCACCATAGGTACATGTACTGGGCTGTGCACCTAAGGATCCTGCTCCTGGCAACGATCCTCTCCCTAGCTGAGAAGGACGGACACTCATGGAACTAAAAAGGGGGATGGGGCCATCAAAGGCATTTACCTTTTGGTCAAAACAACCAGTGAGGGCAGTCTGTAACACTCTTGGGTGAGGGTTCGATCTCAGGGGCGCCACCTGACTGGGGATAAGTCTCTGGTTTGGTTTTGTTTCTCTGGAGAGTCAGAGCTCCCATCTCTGGTTCCCTCTCCAAATGCCTGCAATGGCCAAGACTGCATCCCAGAGCCAGGATGAATTCAGCCTGGCTGAATCTCAGAGCCAGGAGCTCAATTCAGGTCTCCCAGGCAGATGGCAGCAACTCAGTGACTTAAACCACCACTGCTGCCACCCCGCGTCTACATTAGTAGGAAGCTGGAGTCAGGAGCTGGAGCCAGGAATTAAACCCAGGCACACTGATGTGGGCTGCAGGCATCTCAGCTGATAGGCAAATACACACCCTAAACTTTCTCGTTTTTAAAGTGCCAGTCCACCTGCCTTCATTTAATCAATACTTTTCTTCTTAAATGGAAATACAGGGAAAAATATTGTAATACCTAGAACTCAGAAAGTTGTAAAACCTGTTCTGGAAACTTCTACCAACAGTCTAAATTAGATAAACTCAGTCACCTGGATTTTTTTTTATTCTCTCCACTTTTTTTTTTCCTTAAACTATTTACTTATTTGAATGGCAGAGAGATAGATCTTCTATTTGTTGCACACTCCCTGAGTGCTCACAATAGTAAGTGCTGGGCCACGACAAAGGCAAGAGTTTCAAACTCAATCCAAGTATCCCAGGTGGGTAGCAAGGACCCAAGCACTTGGGCCATCACTGCTGCTTCCCAGGTGTGCCTTAGTAGGAAGCTGGAATTGGAAGCAGAGCCAGGACTCAGATCCAGGCACATGGATGTGGGATGTGGGTGTCCCAAATGCTGGCCAAAAGCCCATCCTACCACCTATTCTTTTTTTTTTTATTTTAGAAGTTTTAATTTTTTTAAAGATTTATTTATTTATTTTAGAGTCAAAGTTAAGAAAGAGAGAGGGAGAGAAAGAGAGAGGTCTTTCAACTGCTGGTTCATTCCCCAAATGGCTGCAATGGCTGAAGCAAGGAGCCAGGAGCTTCTTCCAGGTCTCCCACATGAGTTCAGGGCCACAAGCACTTGGGCTAGCTTCCACTGTTTTCCCAGGCCATAAGCAGAGAGCTGGATAGGAAGAGGAACAGCCAGGACTCGAACTGGCACCCATATGGAACGCTGGCGCTGCAGGCAGAGGCTTAGCCTACTATGCCACAGCACCAGCCCCAGAATAGTTTTAATTTTACAAAATAAAATTGTGCGTTCTCAGATACCCCTCACCCCATTTCCCTTACTAACATTGCACATTAGTATATCTGTCACAACAAACCACATCCAGCTTCCTTTTATCTTTCTCACCCCTGCTAGCCTCTAGTAATCAACATTCTGTTCAGATTGAGTTTTTTTTTTTTTTTAAATTTTAGCTTCCACATACAAGGGAGAACATGTGGTACATTTGTCTTTCTGTGGCTTACTTTACTCCACATGCTCCCAAGTTCCATCCATTTTGCTGCAGATGATAGGAATTCACGCTTTTTAAAATACCTGAATAGTATTCTATTATGCGTATACACCATATTTTCCTTATTCATCTGATGATGAACACCTTGGTTGATTTCATATTTTGGCCACTGTGGACAGTGCTGCTATAAACGTGGTGATGCAGGTATCTCCTTTATAGAATGAGTTTATGTCTTTTGGGTATCTACCCAGTAGTGCAATTGCTGGATCATATGGCAGCTCCATTTCTACTTTTAAAAGAAATCTTGTTTCCCACAGTGGCTGCTCTAATTTACATTCCCACCAACAGTGTATAAGAGTTTCCCTTTCTCCCTATCCTGGCCAGGTCACTCTCTTTTTGATAATAGTCATTCTGACAGGGGTGAGGTGGCAGCTCATTGTGGTTTTGATTTGCATTTCTCTGATGGCTAGTAATACTGACCATTTTTCCCCCAATATATTTGTTGGCCATTTATATTTCTTCTTTTGAGAACTGTCTATTCAAGTCTGTTGTCCATTTCTTAACTGGATTTTTTTTTTTTAGTTACTGATATATTATTTATTTTACAGGCAGAGTTGCAGAGAGAGAGAGAGAGAGATCTTCCATCTGCTGGTTCACTCCCCAAATGGCCACAATGACTGGGACTGGGCCAAGCCAAAGTCAGGAGGCTAGAACTGCATCTGGGTCTCCCATGTGGGAGCAGGGTCCCAAGCACTTAGATCCACAGCAGACAGCTGGATCACAGTGGAGCAGCCAGGACTCAAAGTGGCTCTCACACGGGATGCCAACATTACACTGCGTGGCAACGAGAGTCCCTGCTGGTATATTACTGATATTAACCCTTTGTCAGGTAAGTAGCCTGCAAAGATTTTCTCCCATTCTGTTGGCTGTCTCCTCACTAGACTGTTTTCTTTGCAGAAGTTTCTGAGTTTGATATAATCCATTTGTGGTTTTTCTTTTGTTGCCTGCACTTTTGGGGTCTAATCCAAGAGATCATCAGTTATACCAATGGCTTGAACTGCTTTTCCGCATTTTTTTCCCCCTAGTGATTTTATAGTTTTAGGTCTTTCATTCAGAACTTTGAGCCACTCTGAGTTGATTTTTATATGTGGTGAGAGGTTGGGATCTAACTTCATTCTTCTATGTATATACATCCAGTTTTGGCAAAACCACAAGATTCCTTCTCCAATGTAGGTTCTTGGCGCCTTTGTCAGAAATCAGTTGGTTCTATGTATGTGCATTAATTGCTGGGCTCTCTATTCTTTTCCATTGCTCTATGGGCTGGTTTTTATGCAGGTACCATGCTGTTTTAATTACTATAGCTTTGAAATATGCTTCAAAATCAGGTATTGTGATGCTTCTAGCTTATTCCACCTCCCTCCCCAGGACTGCTTTGGCTATTCTATGTTTTTTGTTATTTCGTATGCATTACGTAAAGAATATCACTGATATTTTATAGGGATTGCACTGAATCTGTGGATTACTTCAGATGTTTTAATGATATTCTTTTTTTTTCTTTATTTTTTATTTTATTTTTTTGACAGGCAGAGTGGACAGTGAGAGAGAGAGAGAGAAAGGTCTTCCTTTGCCATTGGTTCACCCTCCAATGGCCGCCACGGCCGGCGTGCTGCGGCCGGCGCACAGCGCTGATCCGATGGCAGGAGCCAGGAGCCAGGTGCTTCTCCTGGTCTCCCATGGGGTGCAGGGCCCAAGCACTTGGGCCATCCTCCACTGCACTCCCGGGCCACAGCAGAGAGC